AGTGAAGCAGAACAGCTCAGAATCAAAGTTTCATCCTGCCTCAGCAATGCCAAACCACCACCTTCCAACATCAGTAGAGAGGAGAGGGATGCACTCACCACTCTTAGCAAGGACAAAAACATCATCATTCTCCCAGCAGACAAAGGAAGGTGCACAGTGATTTTGAACCAAAAAGGCTATCATGAGAAAGTTATGACACTCCTTAGTGACTTAACCACTTGTGCGCCACTGAAAAGAGATCCAGGAAGTAGTTACAAGAAGAAATTGATAGACTGCGTGAAAATTTTGGAACAGGACAAGGCTATTGACTGTTTTCTGTACCACAGACTGTACCCAGGGGAGGCCACACCTAGTCTGTATGGTTTACCTAAAATCCACAAACAAGGTGTACCTTTAAGACCAATTGTTAGCATGATTAACTCTGTCACTTACAATGTTTCCAAATATCTGGCGTCTGTACTCATCCCTTTAGTTGGCAGCTCAGAACACCACATACAGAACACCATGGACTTTGTGGACAAGGTGAGGGATGTCATCATGGAGACTGATGAAACAATGGTCTCTTTTGATGTCACATCACTCTTTACGTGCATTCCTGTTGATGATGCAGTAGAGGTGGTCAGTTTAAGATTAAAATCAGACACCACTCTGAGCAGCAGGACCACACTTTCCACAGAACAACTGTGTCAACTCTTGAAACTGTGCCTGCAGTCAACCTACTTCACATATGGGGAGCAATATTATAGGCAGAAACATGGGTGTGCTATGGGGTCTCCAGTTTCTCCTATTGTTGCCAACCTGTACATGGAGGAGGTAGAAAAGAGAGCCTTGACGTCCTTTTCAGGGACACCACCAAGTCATTGGTTCAGGTATGTTGACGACACCTGGGTTAAAATTAAATCTCAGGAAGTCCAACATTTTACTGATCACATCAACTCTGTGGATAAATACATCAAGTTCACATGAGAAGGTGTAAAAAATTGCAGGTTGGCTTTCTTGGACTGTGAGGTCTCAGTTTCTGATAGAGGACATTTGCAAACTGAGGTGTACCGCAAACCCACCCACACAGACCAGTATTTGCAGTTTGACTCCCATCACCCTTTGGAGCACAAGTTAGGAGTCATCAGGACTCTGTACCACAGAGCAGACAGTGTCCCCACTAGCTCAGGAGCCAGGCAGAAGGAGAAATCCTACACAAGACAGGCTCTAGAGCAATGTGGATATCCTAACTGGGCCTTCCTGAAAGAAGAAACCCAAACAGGA